AAACGGTAAATTAGCCAGTCTAAATAATCCTGTTAGGAGGCTTTATATTTCGGGGGATATGCAGTTCCCCCATCTCTTTGGAGAGGTAGCTTAAAGCTTGGGAGGGGATTATTGTCTCCATACAGGGAGGTTTATGGGCATGTCATGCATCTGTATTTTCCAAAGGCAGCGTGGAACTAATGCTGTTAACAGCAGGTCAGTCTGCCCAAACAGAGGGCAGGAATACCGGCCAGCTTCTGGTTTCTCGCAGGTCAGAAACCTTTAACACTGGCTGCTCCGACAAGATGGAGCCATTGATCTACCAAATGCACAGGTGTATATTTTACTGCAGTTCAGCATGGAGTGATTGTTGTTGTTTAGTCGTTTAGTCGTGTCCAACTCTTTGTGACCCCCATGGACCAGAGCACGCCAGGCACTCCTGTCTTCCACTGCCTCCCGCAGTTTGGTCAGACTCATGTTTGTAGCTTCGAGAACACTGTCCAACCATCTCGTCCTCTGTCGTCCCCTTCTCCTTGTGCCCTCCATCTTTCCCAACATCAGGGTCTTTTCCAGGGAGTCTTCTCTTCTCATGTGGTGGCCAAAGTATTGGAGCCTCAGCTTCAGGATCTGTCCTTCCAGTGAGTACTCAGGGCTGATTCCCTTAAGAATGGATAGGTTTGATCTTCTTGCAGTCCATGGGATTCTCAAGAGTCTCCTCCAGCACCATAATTCAAAAGCATCAATTCTTCGGCGATCAGCCTTCTTCATGGTCCAGCTCTCACTTTCATACATCACTACTGGGAAAACCATGGCTTTAACTATACGGACCTTTGTTGGTGTTGGAGTGATTATATAAATATATATAACACAGAGCTACACATATCAAGGAAACGTTTTCCCCACAGCTATTTTGCTATGCTGCTATCTTAATGTCACAATCAAGGAAAGAACATTTTGTGCGATGATTACTGACGATAAAAACTCATTTCACGGGGGGGGGGGGGGGTAAGGCTATCATTGGTTACCAACCACAATGGCTGCGTTCTACCACCACTGTCAGCCGCAGTACGCCTCTGAATACAAATTTCTGTGAGTTGTGAGTGGGGAAGTGTGCTGTTGCACTCATGCCCTGCTTGAAGGCTTCATACAAACATCTGGTTGGCCACTGCGGATGAGATGGGGCTGTGGGATCTTCTCAATCCATGTTTACATATTCAGTAACCACACAGCTTGGAGAGCTGGCATTTAAGCAAAGCTAGTGTCAGCAGGCAAGAAGTTGTTTGGCTTAAATGCCCTGGCACAGCCCACTGCTGATGGACCCTCCTGTGAAATACTGCCTTTTCTTGTGGGATAATTCTTCAGGCAACAGTCTTCTTCACACTTAATCCAGAGGAAGTCCTGATTTCTTTTTAACGAAGCCAGGAATCCCAGCTCATGCCAAGCACCTGCCCCCATCTCTTAATTGCCTAAGGGGTCGGAAAAATGGCACTCACAGGCATCAGTGTGCTTGCCAGTACTTCCTATGGCATCTATGGAAGGTTTTGGTCAATATCCCTCCAAATGGCCATTATGCACAAGGGACTGTTTGCTCAGACTGCTCAGTTCCTGTTTGCACGGGCTCAACCTCTCCGATGTTGGGTGCTCCTCCTTGAAAGTTTCATTGGATGCCAGGATTGGATGCCCACCTTTCCAGGGCTTCTGAACAGAGGAGTGGTGCAAAGGGCTTGCCTGTGTGAGCAAGGGAGACGGTGGTGGCTTATGTAGGCACCAAAACAACAATATCATACGTGTGAACCATGCATCTAAGGGGGGGGCATTCCAAAGCCTGAGTGCAACTGCAGAGAACGCCCTATCTAACATTCTTGCATAACATACCATTCCTGCTGGAATGATGAGAAGGGCTTCCCCGACCACTCCTAACACTCAGATGGGTGAAGAGGTGCTCCTTGAAGTAAATGGGTCCCATTTAAATAAAAGTTAGTTTTTGAATTGGGCTCCGTGGGATAAGAAGACTCCCTGGAAAAGACCCTGATGTTGGGAAAGATGGAGGGCACAAAGAAAAGGGGACAACAGAGGACGAGATGGTTGGATAGTGTTCTCGAAACTACCAGTATGAGTTTGACCGGGCTGCGGGAGGCAGTGGAAGACAGGAATACCTGGCGTGCTCTGGTCCATGGGGTCATGAAGAGTTGGACACGACTAAATGGCTAAACAACAACAACAGTGGAGTACAAGAAACCAGTGCAGGTCCTGTAGAATTGGGAGTGATCCTGGTAACGTGACATTCCAGATCCAGACCACCACATTCCGCACAAGCTGTAGATGTCTTCAAGGCAGCCCCACACACAACACATTACAACAATCCAAATGGGGGGATTATGAGTCACTGTGGCTATTTTGGTCCAAGAACAACCATAACTGGTGAACTAGGTGGAAGCAGAAACAAGCATTCCATACTACTGAAGCAGGAGATTCTAGCAACATACCTGGATCCAACAGTACCCCCAGCTATGAATGTGCTCATTTAGTGGGAGTGGCCCACACCCAGGGTTAGCCTAACCAATTCCCAGACATGAGCCCTTTCAGCCACAGTGTCTCCCTCTTCTTCCCTAGTTTCAGTCTACTGGCACATAACCAGCAATTTCTTCTCTCTTCCCATTGTTGAAAATGATCCTCACACAAAAACATACCTGGAACACACCTTATGCTTCCATGTTAGGAATATCCCAGTAATGTGTGATCAGAAACATCAGGAAAGGCAATTTGTCCTTGTTTAGCAAGAGATTCCCATTTTGAGAGTTTTTAGGAAAGTGTCGGTGTGGAGGGGGGAGGAATCTCATGTTATCCCCCACCCCGCCAAAAAGTCCAAATTGACCTGTGCTGTTGGTTGCACTATATTAGATTGGTGCTCCCCACCACAGCTCCTGGGCCCTAAAATGACAGCTCAAACAAGAGCTGAAGAGGCCCGCAGTTGAGGGGAGCACTATTTCCAAACCAGGAAATGCAGAACTCTGATATATATATATATCCCCACTTGCAGCTCCTGGCCCAGAAAGCAGGTTCCAAAGCAGCGGTGGGGGAAGCTATGGCTTGGTTGCCAAATATCTCCTGCCCCCCGCGCATCTCTAGCTGACCTTTGGGGCTAATACTCCTCAGTGGTCCTACATCATGTCCTCCTCAAGTGCTTTCACATGGCTGGAATGTGTTCTTGAACTGTGATAATGCCTCTTTCTTGTCTGGATGGTGGGGGGGGAGAGAGAGAATGCATGTGTTTATATAAATCTGTTTTTTGCACGGCTAGAATGCAGTCAACTATATGCAGAAAGAGTGCAATCTATTAATACTCCACAAGCAGACTTGGTATAAATAATCAAAGGGGTATTTCGAAGCTGGCTGCCTGCTGTTGAGAGACCTCAGAAATCGGTGTCAATAGCTCGCATGGCAACCTCCTTGATTTCCGTATAATATCATTTGTGCACATTTTGTATGCAGAACATATCTGTGATTTCACCTTAAGTTCCCAAAGTACAAACACTTTGGCAGCTGGAGCCTTAAACTGAATCTGATTAGCAAATATCAGAGACAAGCTTTCTTTGCCTTCTTGCTTGCATCCCTGCTAAAAAGTTAAGAAAATTACAACAGTGCATGCTTGAACCTTTGGCTCAGAGCTCTCCAGGGCAGTGCTGTACTCATGATTAAGCTGTGTAGTGGCACCATCTTGTGGTGACAGCAAAACATAACATTAGCACATAGCACAGTTTTATCTTTTTCTTTTAGCCTGCCTCAAATAAATTATGAGTCGTGCTCTGTATTATTGTTTCTTATTGTGTTTCTGTATGTATGGCTGTTTCACACACACAACTGGGATGTATAGTGGCTTCCTGCTGTGTATGCAACAATCACAGTTGTAAGCAGCAAGATAGATAGATAGATAGATAGATAGATAGATAGATAGATAGATAGATAGACAGACAGATAGAATGCACAGTCTTACAGTGTGTTTGGCCATGAGGCACTTACATGAGGCTGGCAGCAAACCACATAAAGGCTCCAGGGCAGAGGTCGTGGCAATGGGAAAAAAGACAGCAGCAGCTGACATCAAACTCAAAGGACAACTGCGTATTTTGGGTGTATGGGGTTCAAAAGCACGTCAAAGTGCGCCTTCCTTCTGGGCATTGTTGACCAAGGGGTGTTAAGGAGGGATAGAACTTTCTTTATGCATGCAACAACAGCAGCAAGAATACTCATGGCTAAGCATTGGAAGACACAGGATTTGCCCACCTTGGAAGAATGGCAGACGCAACTGATAGACTATATGGAACTGGCGGAAATGACTGGCAGAATTCGAGACCTGGGAGAAGAGACGACGGAAGAGGATTGGAAAAAATTTAAGGACTATTTACAAAAACACTACAAGTTGTATGAATGTTAGGAGAATGCACGAATGGAAGAAACATGGCAGCAGTAAAATTATTGTAAGATATATGAGAATATGTGATGTTTAAGGTAATGTTGAAACTTGAAGTAATATTATGCTCTTTATAAGCAGTTTAATTTAAGACCAACAGACTTTAAAGTTGAAATTGAGTATTGGTGATTTATAAAACAAGAAATGGAAGTAAGGTAACAAATTGCTGCACATAACTGTTTGGTTGGGAACGCAGGGAAGGGTGATGTGAGGAAGTCCAAAGTTTGATGGAAAGTGGATTTATTAATATATGTACTCTATTCTTACTTTCTTTCTATTTCTCTATCTTTTTCTTTTATATAATCTTATTCTGACTTTTTTCTTTCTGTTTCTATCTGTTATTTTGTTATTTGGTTGTTCAAAAAATCTCAATAAATATTTTTTTAAAAAAAAACAAAAGCACGTCAAAGTGCAAATAGATAAATAGGTACCGCTCCAGCGGGAAGGTAAATGGCGTTTCCATGTGCTGCTCTGGTTTGCCAGAAGCGGCTTAGTCATGCTGGCCACATGACCCGGAAGCTGTCTGTGGACAAACACCAGCTCCCTCGGCCTATAGAGTGAGATGAGCGCGCAACCCCAGAGTCGTCCACGACTGGACCTAACAGTCAGGGGTACCTTTACCTCTGGTGGGGGATATGTCATGTTGTTTTGGGGTAGTTCGGCTCCTAGAAACTGTCAGCATGCAACAGCGGTCACATCCAGGGAAACAGCTTCAATTAGCCAGCTAAAACAAGTGAAAGTAGCTGGTGGGTCTCAAATCCTCAGTGAGTTAGGGACTTCCCCTGCATGTGAAGACAGCCTCTGGTGGACTGAGCGGATGAGACCAATAGTGGGTCCACACATGTGCTATAGAGGAAACTGAGGGGGCTCATCAACCTGGGAAGACAGTCCATCTAGAAAACTCTAATCCAAAACCTCCACCGCCTTGTGGTTATACTCATTCATGAGAAAGGCTTCAGGAGTAAACCTTGAGGGAAAATCTGTACCCACTGCTTTGTGAGACATGTACAGCTAAGGAGTAAACCCTACACAAATCGGGAGTGGAGTCCCTAGGACGGTTGGATGGTGTCATGTATGCCTCCTTCTGGCAACTCCTGCAGCCCAGCTGGTGCCAAATGTATTGCTCTGCTTTCCTTTAGATCACATCAGTGAGAACAAGAGAGAAGTCTTGGCGTCTGGGCAGCCCAGGACCTCCATGCACACTGCTTAGGCTTGTGCCCTGGAGAGGTCACTTTGGTGCGGCTAGCACAGCAAAAACGTGGGAGGCAGCAGTTACGAGTTGCTGGTCTCTGCAGCCACAACACTGGGGGTGGATGCTGAAGATGTGCAGGTGGAGTCATCAGCGCCAAGGGACTTTCCCTCTGGTACAACAACCCTGCATAGTAGGCTACTTTTACAATCCTCACACTGCAGATGCGTAACTTAGAGAAGGGTAGGGCCGCCTAAACAAGTCCATGGCTATGGGAAGATATGAACCAGGGGCCTTCTGTCTCACTGTTTAGTCTTCTACTCTGCCTCATTCATTCACACCTTGTCCTTGTATTGCTTACACTATGTGCAAACGTTAGGATGTTGCTCTGAACTGCTTAGAGATTCTGTCTTCAGAAGGTTCTCCTTGGCTTGCTCTTTTCTTTGAGCCTTTCCGCTGCTGTTTATGAGCTTGATGTTCTTCAGCATATTCTTCACTGTAAGGCTCGGGGTTGAATACCTCTTCTGGGTCATCTTTAAATTCCTCTGCCTCATATGGCAAAGCCTTGTTAGGACTGTGAGCAACTTTCTAAAATAAGACAGACATAAATTCCTACATTACAGATGAAATGTACTCCTCCACATGAAAAATTTCCTTCCATTTGTGGTCAGTTTACACACACTTTGAACAACAGCTAACTAATATATAACAAAGGCCAAGCTTTTGCCGCTATGTGTCTGAACTCTGAAGCCTGAATATACATACCGTATTTTTCGGACTATTGGACGCACCGGTCCATAGGACGCACCTAGATTTGGGGGGGGGGGAAATAAAGGCAAAAAAAATTTATTCCCCCCCCGCCAGGCGCGGGGCTGGGGCGGGGAAGCCCGAGCTTCCCCCTCCCCCAGAACGGGACCCAGAGCCATGCCGAAGCTGCGCGCAGCTTTGGCATCGCTCTGGGAGCTTGCGGGGCTGGGGGAGGAGGAAGCCTTCCGCCAGCCTCCAAACCATGTCGGGAGACAGCGGGATGGCGCGCTGCGCCTCTCCCGCTGTCCCCCGAGTTTGCGGGGCTGGGCCAGCCTTCTAACCAAGTCGGGGGACAGCGGGAAGGGCGCGCTGCGCCCCTGCCGCTGTCTCCCGAGTTTGCGGGGCTGGCGACGGGGAGGAGCAGGCTTCTCCCCCCGCCAGCCTTCTAGACAAGTCGGGGGACAGCGGCAAAGGCGCGCTGCGCCTCTCCCGCTGTCCCCCGAGTTTGCGGGGCTGGCGACGGGGAGGAGCAGGCTTCTCCCCCCGCCAGCCTTCTAGACAAGTCGGGGGACAGCGGCAAAGGCGCGCTGCGCCTCTCCCGCTGTCCCCCGAGTTTGCGGGGCTGGCGACGGAGAGGAGCAGGCTTCTCCCCCCGCCAGCCTTCTAGCCAAGTCGGGGGACAGCGGGAAAGGCGCGCTGCGCCTCTCCCGCTGTCCCCCGAGTTTGCGGGGCTGGCAACGGGGAGGAGCAGGCTTCTCCCCCCGCCAGCCTTCTAGCCAAGTCGGGGGACAGCGGGAAGGGCGCGCTGCACCTCTCCCGCTGTCCCCCAAGCTTGTGGGGCTGGCAGTGGGGCTCTCCTGAAGCCTGGAGGTTGTGGGGCTGGTGGGGGGGAGAAGCAGGCTTGCTTCTCCCACCCCCAGCCTCCAGATCAGGTCGGGGAATAGCGGGATGGCGGAGCGCCGCCATCCCGCTATTCCCCGACCTGATCTGGAGGTTGTGGGGCTGGGGGGGGGGGGAGAAGCAGGCTTGCTCCTCCCACCCCCAGCCTCCAGATCAGGTCGGGGAATAGCGGGATGGCGGAGCGCCGCCATCCCGCTATTCCCCGACCTGATATGGAGGTTGTGGGGCTGGGGGGGGGGAGAAGCAGGCTTGCTTCTCCCCCCGCCAGCCTCCAGATCAGGTCGGGGAATAGCGGGATGGCGGAGCGCCGCCATCCCGCTATTCCCCGACCTGATCTGGAGGTTGTGGGGATGGTGGGGGGGAGAAGTAGGCTTGCTTCTCCCACCCCCAGCCTCCAGATCAGGTCGGGGAATAGCGGGATGGCGGCGCTTCGCCATCCCCCTATCCCCCGAGCTTGTGGGGCTGGGGGGGGGAGAAGCAGGCTTGCTTCTCCCCCCGCCAGCCTCCAGATCAGGTCGGTGGCGGCTCTGCGCCTCCCCGCTGTCCCCAGCTTTTGGGTGCAGGCTGCTGCCCGCAAGCCTTGCGAGCCCGCGTGACATCCCGCCGGGCTTGCAAGACTTGGGATAGCTTCCTGAAGCCTGGAGAGCGAGAGGGGTCGGTGCGCACGGACCCCTCTCGCTCTCCAGGCTTCAGCAAAAGCCTGCATTCGCACCATAGGACGCACACACATTTCCCCTTCATTTTTGGAGGGGAAAAAGTGCGTCCTATAGTGCGAAAAATACGGTACTCAAAACGGGTATCAACCATCTCAGGCATTAAGATCAGCAGCAGAGTCCTTATTGCTTGTGCAACCCTCTGGCTGCTGCATGGTTTTCACTGACCCATCGCAGGGCCTTCTCAGTGGTGGCTTCCAGCCTGTGGAATGCCCTCCTGGGTGAGGTGCATCTGTCTCCCTCATCACTGATTTTCAGGAGAAAATTTAAAATCATTCCTCTATACCCAAGTTTTTGATGGCTAAAAGATATTGAGCATTGCAATCATGATCAATAATTGTGAGGGTATATGAATGCTTTTAAATATTTTTAGATGCTCTAAAAAAATTAATTTAGATAGAGACAAACTTGAGAAAGATGGGGGGGGAGATGCTAACCATTGAATAAAAGTAATACATAAATCAATAACATAAAATACAAAGCAGAGGAAAAACCTGTACAGCCCCAAATCATAAGCATTTCCAAATAAGATCATTTAAAGGGATCTGCTGCCTCACAGTCGCTGATGACAAATAGGAGGGAGGTGGACTTCAATGTTTTTAACTATCTTTAAACCTTTAATTTGTTTTGATTTGATTTTAAATCATACTGTTTCAACATTGTGGTGCTTGATGCTCTGGGCTCCTTTGGGAAGAAGGGTGGGATATGAATTTAATAAATAAAAAATAGCCTGAAATAGCTCAGTTTTCCTGGCCACAGGCCACAAGGTTTATGAGTCAAAATACAGAGACCCCAAGACTCAAATAACAAGGCTATCAACCTGTAGCAAGGCTTCCTTAGTCTGATACATGTGGACTGGCTACCATGATATAGCCTTTAGGTGTTATCACACAGACACAGGCATCATCATCCTCATAAGGTGGGGGTTAGTGGGAAAGAAACAACACACTTTGAACTAATCACTCATATATGCTCTTAGTGAGTGAAATGGTAAAAGAGATGCAAACGTGTTTGTAAAAACACAGAAGGTTTGGAAAAAATGAACACACAGACACACGCAAAACAACTTATCACGCCATCCCCTTCTTGACTGGTTGACTTTAACACTAATAGAGTTAACTCTTAAGTTACAAACTGAATGATTGCACTTCCAACTCAGAGAACCATGAATAATATTGGCCAATTGTTCATGTGTCTCAATTAAAGAAAAGATAAAATATATCTTACGGTAATTACAATAGTCATATAAATCAGTGGCCCAGCACTAAAACCCCAAGCCTTAACTGTGGGCAACAAGATCCCCTGTTCAGGCCTCCTGCTAAAATAATCAGGATTTCAGCAGTTATGAAAAACCAGATTATAAAGTAACTAATTCATCAGCGCACCTGATTCATACGCCCTTCATCTGATTGCCCAGGTTCATCATTTTGCAGCCTCTTCATATAGCAGCTCACATCCGACTCTAGAGTGGCATAATCCATTTCCCAGGGCAAAATCATAATAGAAGGAGGTTAGTAACTCTTCCATGGCAACAGGTATTACATTTTACTTTATAAAAAGACACACATGTAATTGCAACCACAACCCTTATCCAGCTGTGATGACCTGGCCATCTTGTTGCATGGTGGACTGACAGAAAGTAAAAGTAGCCTTCTTCAACTTGGCTAGGCCGTCTGGGCCTGATAGGAGTTGTAGTCCAAAACATTTGGAGTGAATCAGGCTGGGGAAGGCTGAGTTAGAGACTCTCTGTTGCTTAACTTGCAAGCAATTTGCTTGAGCTTCTAAGCAACATATTGACAAATACACACTGTTCATGGTGTTAGTTTTGACCTTTAAACCTAAATGTTTTAGGGCCAGGTTACTAAAATAAACCTGCCTGATCTTTAAAATCTGCTTCAGATTATCTTTCTCTCTGCTCCTTCACCTTTAGATATATGGTGACAACTAGGGAAAAATCTTTTCAGGAGTGGCACCTTGTTTGTGCAATACCCTCCCTGGCATTAAGCATCAACATTGTTCTCCTTGAAATGTTAAAGGTAAAGGGACCCCTAACCGTTAAGTCCAATCGCGGACAACTCTGGGGTTGCGCACTCATCTCACTCTATAGGCCGAGGGAGCCAGTGTTTGTCCGCAGACAGCTTTCCGGGTCACGTGGCCAGCATGACTAAACTGCTTCTGGCGAACCAGAGCAGCGCATGGAAACGCCGTTTACCTTCCCACCGGAGCGGTACCTATTTATCTACTTGCACTTTGACGTGCGTTCGAACTGCTAGGTTGGCAGGAGCTGGGACCGAGCAACAGGAGCTCACCCTGTCGCGGGGATTTGAACTGCCGAGCTTCCGATCGGCAAGCCCTAGGCTCTGTGGTTCAACCTACAGCGCCACCTGCGTCCCATCCTTTAAATGTTAGGTAGGGGGTATATGCTCCTTGGTAGCAGAACCATGCTTTGCATGCAAAATGTCCCATGTTCAATCTCTGGCATCCCAGGCTAGGAAAGACTCCAGTTTGAAACCCTGGAAAGTCAGTTACTGGTCAGTTTGCAGATTGTTTTTTTCTTTTAATTTACAAGCTCATATATTTCTGCATACCTACAGCGTGCCTGGGTGAATACCTATCTAATTTGTAGGTGGCACTGTTTTGCTTTCAAACTGATATGCGTTCAACAACTTCAACTCACTGCTTGATTGTAAACAAGCAAACAAACAAAATGCAAAGCAGTTTGCAAACAGATAAAACAAGAAAATCAAGAAAAAATTACAATACTGTAAAACACACCAAAACCTAAAATATTAAAACAGATTAAAATCCATATCAGCATTTATAAGCACCTGGGTAAAGGTAAAGGTAAAGGGATCCCTGACCATTAAGTCTAGTCGTGACCGACTGGGGTTGCGGCGCTCATCTCGCTTTATTGGCCGAGGGAGCCAGTATACAGCTTCTGGGTCATGTGGCCAGCATGACTAAGCCGCTTCTGGCGAACCAGAGCAGTGCACAGAAACACCGTTTACCTTCCCGCCGGAGCAGTACCTATTTATCTACTTGCACTCTGATGTGCTTTCGAACTGCTAGGTTGGCAGGAACAGGGACCGAGCAACGGGAGCTCACCCCGTCATGGGGATATTCGAACCACCGACCTTCTGATTGGCAAGTCCTAGGCTCTGTGGTTTAACCCACAGCACCACTCGCGTCCCACAAGCACCTGGGTACGATGGCCTAAACAAGAATGTTTCAAGCAAGGTGCCAGAAAAGAACAGAGTGAAGATGCCTGCTTGTTATCAATAGGCAGGTATATCAATTGGCTGTATAATGTGACTATGGCTCATTTATAACTTTTTCCAGTAGGCTACTCTCACCAACTGGGGTTATGTGGGATTACTGGTGGAGAGAGGGGGAATCAACTTTCCTAAACAGACTGAATTTTGATTTAACATGTTTATTTTACTTATATTTAGTAAACAACCCCCCAAAATATTTTTCATGTTAATTTCTCATGGTGTATAAATATTTCAGTGTTTTTACAATAGTTAAAAGTAGTCCACCTTTAGCATATGATTTAATGTGATTTAAATGTTTTATTCAAAATACAAAGTTTTACCTGGAAATTATTATTTTTGAAAACTTGTAAATATTTTAAGGAAAGATAACTAAATTGCACACACTTTCCTTGTGCCATTTAGCTTTTAAGGGAAAAATGAAGGGACTGAATACTTAACATACGAATATTAGCATAACTCAACATCTATGAGCATAGAGCTTGCTAGAGAAAATCACCTTTAAATTTAATTACAACTTTGATTTTAAGTTGACTCTTATTTTATCCATTTCAGTTACTCGATCTGGCTTGTCTTGTATTCATTCATAGTGCTACTTTTAAATTTTATAAAACCATACGTTTCTATAAATGGGAGATTTTCTGCAGGAAAATATAGCAGCAGAAAGATTGTGGTGGAAAATGTTTCACTCCACATCACTGAACAACAATAGGATTACATGAACATTTGGGGGGTGGATTCTGAAAGCAGAAAGAATTTTAAAACTGAATTAATTAATTTAATTTAATTTAATTAACTAGACATTATTGTATATGTGATGGTTCATAACCTAGGCAAACCTATTTGTATGCATAATTAAGGCTGAAATCCTAAGCACTCTTACCTAGAAACAAGCCTCACTCCATACAGTGGGACTTCATTTTGAATAAACATATCAAGGATTGATTGCACAGTAAAAACTCTCTACATTCTATTTAGGGTGCAATTTTACAAGTTCACCACTAGATGCAGCTAGTGCTGCAACATGTAAAACTACATTTCAGTTTGTGGGGTGGAGGTGAGGGCTTTTCGGGAACATATTAGAATTCCTTCAACATTACATAAATACTATCACTTCATGCAATGCAATCAAGCCATGGATTTCTGTTCACAGTAGTAGAAGCTTTGCTCTCATCAGAGCTTAAACTCAGCTGTATCTAAGATTTTGCAGCCACTTAAGAGGTATTACATGAAACAGAAATACATACATCCCTAAATAAACCAACAACGTATTACACACGAGGTAGCTCATGCTTGCCTTTGGGACACTGAGCTGTTGCTGTTGGCATCTGTTTGTCTCAAGAGATAATGGAGTGTGCCTCTTAGGGTGAAGGCAAACTGCTATGTAAGCAGCATCGACGTGGCTTCCCTGGGGCACAAGCATGGAGGTCCTAGGCTGCCCAGATTATAAGATCCATCTCGGATGTTTAGAGCAAACAACAGCCAAGGGAGGCCCAATTTGGACTGGGTTCCCAATGCCTGCTACTTATTTAAAACACACAAACAGTCATGCAGTTGCTAATTGCATGAATGAACTGTGTCCTGTCTAGTTTGGTCCTTATTCATACACTTATAGGTCCTACAGAATTAGTCAATTGACTCTAGCACGCCTAACACAGAGAAAAATCCCACAAGAACAAGGAAGGGATTAAACTGGAGATCAAGGATCCCATGTTAGACAAGGCAGGGATCCATGTAGCGATTCCAGCTCTGGATGAATTTATGATCAGTGCTCTAGATGAGACCATCGGCTGACCAGGGGAACAGAAGAATGTTCAGTTCTGATTCAGTGTAGGCTAGTTTTTTTGTCCCCAACCCCACAGACTAACCACCACAGGTTCTGTATCATCTTTCTGTACCAGTTACAGAAAGAGCAGCTCTGAATTCCCACTTAAACATCGCCCAGGGAATCCTCCTCAGTTTTACCTTTGTGCATTAAGCTTAAAATTAACAGATGTGATGCAGCACAGCCCTCACTGCTCTTTAACTCACTTTTCTGAAGCTTTTGTTCCATCTGAATCTTCAGCCAGATACTAACACGCTGGCTCCAGTCTCCCGGGGCTTCTACTTCCCACAGTCGAGACTGTTCCTCTGGATGGGTCTCCAAGAATCTCTGACAAACTAAGCAGGAAAGTTGACTTGTTCAAGGTGAAACAAGTAGAAACTCAATGGAAACCTATACTAAGAATGCCTACTATCTTAACCTGCCCTCCCATAACAATTAATATTATTACATATTATTTATATAGCGTCAAGCACTGTGCTAGGCACTGTACTCATTAAAAGCAAATATATAGCAAACACATTTTGAAAAATGAGCAAGGTTCGTTGCAGGACTTGAAACACATTAAATAAGGACTGAATACACCACCCATTATATATTGGCCTCTTAACTGCTACTGCATCCTAGCCAGCAGTGCAGTTCAGTAAGTTTCAATTCTGGACTTAAGAGTCTTAGTGGGGGCTCCTTAGATGGCAAACTATATGACTTCATTGACATATAGTAAGCTAGGGTTGCTGTGTTTGAACAGCCTCCTGTTTATTCAGAATGAAAAAAGAACCTTCCTGGATCAGACCAGAGGTCCATTTAGTTCAGTATCCTGTTTGCACAATGCCCAACCAGATGCTTATAGGAAGTCTGTCCCCGAGTTCTATTTTTATAAGACAGTGGAAAAAAACTTTTCTCTATCTACTCCTCTTATCTCAAAATTGCACCTCAAAATTGCATTTAGAATTTTGTATCAAGCAAGTTAAGGAAATTCTATGGACTTGCACTGCTCTACAGATTGCATGAGACAAGGTGGGGAAATCTATCATTTTACATATGTAATGGACCATTACAGAACAACAATTTGAGTATTTTTATTTATATTTGAGCATTTGGAGCAGTCTGAAAGAATGTAAAGATCAGTCTGGGAATTCTGAAGTTTCTTGTGCAACAATTCGTTCTATAACAATGTTTGGAAACCAGTGAAGAGCCTTGTCAAAAAGAGCTTATTTATGTCTTCCGCTCAAACGGAGTTTTTCTTTACAGCAGTGGCTGGGGCCTTTCTTTTTTTTAATAAAAAAAATTAAGGGCTTGCCTCAGTAGATGCTGCACAGCTGTTTATAATGAGAAGTAACTCAATAGACTTGGCCTCACATCATACCATTTTCAATAAGGACAAGTTAAAATAGATTGTATTGGTTTGATGAAAGAATGCACTATTGAGATTAAAGCCTAGGAACCACCAATACCGCCTCATTTATGTACTTATTTCACACCTAAATGTATACTACAGACTTCTTGTCTTCCAACTTTTGCAGCCACACCCTGAAATGAACTGCTGATCTAAACCAAAATAATCCCTGGGGCCTAGCCCTCCCATAAAGTGACGTATCGCTTATGACATTAGATAACGCAAAACATGCTAGTTGTTTGTTGAAATCCTGACCGTACATTAATGTTTTCATAGCAGAGTGGATGCACATTCATGTGAGAGATTTCTGCCTGCAAAATAAAATCACTTAAAATATGCAAAATATTATAGATACACAGGCAGAAAGCCTCTTTATGCTTCCTACAAACCATCATGACCTTTTAAGCCAAACGTTTCTAAACCAAGTCATTTACCTTGGTACATGACAGCAGAAACAGGACAGCTGAGTCCCAGGGCAACTTCAGCTGCAAATGTCTGACAAAAATCATGCAGTATTTTCATACCAACTCCACCTCTTCTGAACTTTTTTCGGACAAACATTGTGTCCAAAACTGGGAGCATGTAGCATTGGCTGGAGTACCCATCACACAGGCTTCCTGGAAGCAGAAAACAACATTGCCTGTAATTAAACTGAATTCCAAACACAGCTCATGAATGAGTTTATTAAAATCACTATGAAGCTGTAGACAGAAAGCTGGATTTAAAACCATGCAGCTCGCTGAGTGGACTAGTATAAACACCAAGAAACTGCCCTTTAGACTCCAGCTCAAAACACAGCTCTGGTTCCAGGCTGCAACTCCTGTAATAGATGGGAAGGATCCTGAGTTGGAAAAGCCCCATCCCAGGTCTGGATTCTGTGACCTTGACCTGGCTCTGACATATGGCAAAAGAGCAGTATTTCCATATGAAATATATCACAGCAGTGTTCTCTCTCTCTCTGTGGTTTTTGAAAACCAATGTGTACATTATACACAGTATATTTCTTTCTTTTATACAACAGGCTGATTCTTCTCACTGTTACTACTTTTTGAAAAACGCTGCTCACACACAACATGGGCTGCCAATCAGCTACTGGGCCATGTTCAAGATCTTGTTAACATATAAAACCCTGAAGAACTTGGGACCAGGTTACTTGAAAGACTGCCTGCCTCTCCCCATGTAGACCTGGAAGATCACTTAGTTCACCTGGGGAAACTCTTTATGTGGCACAGCACCCTACAGAGTATCATAGGGTGGTGACCCAGAAGCAGGAATTATCAGTTGTTGCCCCTGTACTGTGGAATACCTTCCCCTCTGTCATATGAGAAGTAGCAACTGTCAGTGGTTTCAGGTATCTCGTAAAAAAAAACATATCTTTTTGCCCAGGCTTTTGCTGACATTGCATCCTGTTCTGCATGTCTGAACCTTCTGAATTCCTGTTTTATTTGCTTTATGTTTGCCGTTTCACTGGTTTTAGGCTGTGTTTCTGTTTAGTTTTTTCAAACTATACACCACTTAAGAGATTTCTGAAATATTAAGCAGTATAAAAATGCTTTTTAAAAAGGAATGAACATAGACCCTTTCAGGCCTGTTAACAGCTAAAATCAGACCCAAACAACATGTGACCCCTTTATGCCCATCAGAGCCACAACTCCCCTCCTGTTTTGCTGCAATCACACACACAGCCAAACACAAAACAAGTATTGCGAACAATGTTGGGCTTGGTGGGTGACATGTTCTGCAGGCCCAGCTAAACTGAGAGCTTGTGGTTTCAGAGAAGCAAGCTCCCATTTCTTCCCTTGATCTCGCAGGCAGGTTAACTGGCAACCATGTTATCCTTCAAGACCAGCCATGAATAGCATCATCTTCTCTTTTCTGTTCCATTTATGAGGACAGCCCAGTTATATGAATGTCCAAGAATCCTGCTGCATAAGGCTCCCTTAGGGTGGGACTCATTGCCCTCCAATTACTCATAAGATCAAGCATATGGGCACAGCTAATAAAAGCATTAGGCCCCTGCGCAAGCCAAGAAACCCAGCACATCCTGGACTGGCCGGCAGCCCGGCAGAGATGTCAGATTCTGGCAACATGAGCCCATTCATTTTGGGATGCTGACAAAGGTTTTGCTTCAAGATCTGCAATAGCCTTAAAAGGGGACTGTAGAATTGCTAGCAGGCTCACCAATCCTGTTGCCATCCCATAGAGTTTCTTACTATTTCACTTCTTAATTTGATAGAATCAGCTCAATTAAATAGTTGATCATCCTGCTTTAGAATGGATAAGGAACCTCAGGCCAAGGATGTAATGTGGCCCCTCTGGGCCTCTCTGTTCAGCCCTTGGGACTCTTTCCACACTCCTCATTGGCCTTGCTTCACATTCTGTTGAGTGTTTTCTTCTGGCTAAAATGCACTCTTGCTTTTCTGGATGGAGATTGGAGGGTGTGTGTGTAGAAACGAGCCTACTATACAAAGGTTGTAGATGGAGTTACATTCCTTCTAAAGGAGTAGGGATGTAGCTTGAGGTACTTCTGGATACAACTTTGTCATTGGAGACCCAAGTCACCTCAGTGGCTGGGAGCACCTTTTATCATCTGTCATATTCACTAGCTACAACTGTATTTGGAAAGCAATAACTTAGACACCATCATCCATGCACTGGTACCCTTAAGACTTGATTACTGCAATGCACCCTGCGTGGGGCTGCCTTTGGCCCTGGTCCAGAAGCTCCAGCTGGTGCAGGATGCAGCAGCTAGACTGCTGACTGGGCAGACAGCCAAGAGCATGTGACACTTCTGTTAAAACATCTGCATTGGCCGCCCATATCCTACCAGTCAGGGTTAAAGGTTCTTGGGTTGATACAAACACTGAACAACTGGGGTACAAGATGCCCTAAGGCCTGCCTGAGCCCTTACATCCCAACGCAATCACTCTGTACACATTTTAAAGACACCCCCCTCACTAATGCTGGATGTGCAGCTGATATGCCCATTGGGCATATCAGAATCAGAACGCATGGCCACTAAGCACATTCCTGCTCCCCAACACACAGTCACTGAATTGAAAGGAAGGGGAGAGGTGGTATGACGACTTCTCTTACTCTCTGGGTGAACACACTGAGTGTTATGGGCAAGGGAAATGACAAGCGGAGTCAACGGATGCCATCACAGAAGGCAGCCTTTGTGAAGTCTGCTTCTTCAGGGCCTTTAATCTGTTTGGTTAGGTCACGCATGCTAAATGACTAACCTGTGAGCCAGCAGAATGGTAAACAGCAATTACAAGGGCAGAGAAAAGAGACAGCCATTAACGCTCTCAAACATCCAAAAGCTCAGGAAAAGCCCAACCCCATCCTGCCCCACATCTGAAAGACTCAAACCAAACAAAATTGCACATTCCAGTTAGTTCCCTGATTAACAAGCTGGCTTGGCAGACACTTGTCCAGAGAGACCTTCTGCAGACAGAGCCCTTGTGTAACAGGAGAGAATGTTTCTGCTGAATGGTACCCAAAGTCAACCCATTGTGTGATTTGTGTACAGACACACACACGCCTACACAAAACCCAAAAGAGAGAGCAAAATCTCCAGCTTCAAATAAAACTAAGAAGGCATGGCTTGGTGTGTGTGTAGATACACACATACAAACAAAAACACATTGTATATTTGTTTAATTCTTAGTATATTTGAAGCTTTGTATCTAATGCAAAAATAAAAATGCATGCATTAGTAGAAAGAGACAGAAAGAAAAGACAACACTTGGAATCTGATGGAACCCCTATAGCCATCTAAACCAAGCGCCCTACCCTCTGCCAGCAGGGGAAACAAAAACCCAGAGAGAAGGTAAATGGAATGGAGTATCCTGAAAAGGGTATGGATGTCTGACCAGCTGAAACCCTGCATAGCTGCCCATCAACTACGAGGTGTATGAATAAAACAATGTTAAAAATACATCATGTACAATGTTCTATGACAAGACTGCTGTTTCTTTATACACACACCTTGCATCAGCTCCTCTTGCTAATTAGTTGGGGGAAGCAGAAGTCAACATCCTCTAGCTCCTATTGCTATCCCAACAAAAGCACTCAAGAGAGATCTCTGTATCAAGAAACAATCTTTTAACAATTAGCTCACACAGTTAGCTAAGGAATGAATGGCTAGCCAGTAGCTGCACTATGAATTATAAAGAAAAGCCAAAGAACCACAACACATGTTTTTAAAACACAAAGTTTTTTTAAAAAAATGTAATATATCCAAGCCTTTAACAATTTTTGAAGACAGGCTACATTAAGATCAGCGGCAGGGATTGTGTGACTATAGCGATGTTGTTGGACTGCAATTCCCATCAGCTCCAGCTAATGGTAAGGGTGATGGGTGTTGGAGTCCTGCAAGGGCCACACATTCCCTATCTTAAAAGGGTTTAGATAACCCTATTTGGGGCTTATTAAGTCAATATATGTTTGAGCCTTTTGCCCGAGCAAACAGCCCACTTGCAATCTAACCCAGAAGTCTCCAATTAACAACTTCACCCAAACCTGGAAACTACAGTTACCAGGTTCAGAAAAACCAAGCATTTTCAAACATAGTAGTTGGTTTAAGATCCTGGCTTGTTACAATGCTGGTGGGCCACAGTTTCTCAGTTTGCATAAAGGGGAAAACCAGGAGTAACTGGAGACTTCTGGCTCTGGTTGTTGTGCATATTAAGCTGAGATAGGATTCTCCAAACCAAGCCAACCATCTAAAATGGTGCCCTTCATTTTCCTCAGTATGCCTGCATGAATAAAACAAGTGTACCTTTCACTTTTACGGTGTAAAAGGCAGCTGCATCTCCACTCCTCCAAAATATTTTGGCACACTCTTTCTCAGAATGAGGCACAAAGAGCACATCGTGAGTCAAACTCCTCTCTAGCATTCCAAAAATAATGACGTTAAGCACAAAGAGGACAATTCTTTCTTCAAATGTCTGGACCTTACAAAACAAATAGGGGAGGGAAGAAAATAAGAGAAAACAAAACATTCTGGTTTCCAGTAAAAGTGCTTTACATTTGTTGGTGTTGGTGATTCGTGTGATGTTAAAATATCTAAGGAGGTAAGGTTCAGCAGGATGACAAAAAGAACACAAATTTGCCCAAATATATAAGATTTGCACAGGAAATATTCCCAGATTACACATTGTGTAATAAATATGGTTGGAAAACAAGTAAGATTATGACAGAGGGAATCAGGAAAAAAAACTGCTGGAAAAGGTAGTTAGGAAGAATTCTGAATTCTTCTTTTTATCTTTTTTTTATAATGCTTTTTTACTGGCTTCTATGTTATACCGCTGTTTTATGAAACCATTTTATTGCCTTTTGGTTGTACTTTTGTATGCCACTTAGAGATTTTTAAATATTAAGCAATTTAAGTGCTTTTAAATAAATAAAACACAAAATAAACTAATTTGCTCTAAAGTTATCAGACATTTGCACATAATAGACTTACTGTATCAAATCGGTTGGGGAATATGTAAAATAAAGAGTTAGAGAGGCATGTCAAACGGCATTAAAATTAAGAGGAAAGCACAGGAAGAATTTTAGATGAGAGAAATCCCTTTAAACAAGAACTCCATAAAATAAATGCAATTAATGTTTAAATGGTCCAAGACAGAAGGCATTTGTAAATGGGTATGTAAGTAACACACTGTGCCAAAGGTTAATAAGGCTGGCTCTTCGCAACAGATGGCCAATCAAGCAGCGCTAATGGTGCTGGGCTATTATTGAAAATGAAATAACTCCGTTATCTGATTGTCTCGCCTAGTACCTGGCCAAAGGAGGCAAAGTGGACAGAAATGGAAAAGGACAAACCAGCAGATAAATGGAAATGGGGCTGAGGAAGATTACTCGTTTTTATAATGTGTGGAACGTGGAGGCATGGATGGCAATGGGGAAAGTTGAATTATCCATGGAAATGCATTTAGAAAGACGCACCCTGAAAGGGCAGAAATTCCTACAGAGTTGTGTGTTTGCATGTATATATGTATATACATATGCACACACCCTAATCTTCCTCCAAGGTCATAGCTGCTTCAGGCCAAAAGACACATGATATGGAAGACCTATGATCAGATCTCCCAACATCTCTTTCTTAGCCTTAAAATCAGCTGCAAGGATCCCCAATGTGGATTGGGTCAATGGAGCTGTAGGTGGGAGTGAGAAAAGGTCCACAGTGAGCTTAAACCTTTCTCTTGCGCCATTTAATGAGGAACTGCAGACCACTGCTCTATCTATGTGGCAAGTGGAAAAGATACGTAGTTTGGCCCATACCTGTAGTTGCCATCCAGGCATTGCCTACGGCAAGAACTGCTTAGTTAAACAGCATCATGAGCCTTCAGAGACCATTCTCTAAGCTCTGGAAGAGGATTGGCTTATTCTTTCCTCCATCTGCACTGCTGGCCAACCCCCTGAAGCTGGCATTAGCTCTGCTAGGTACAAAAATACAGGCACAGCACTGATACCCGAGGAAGACTGCTCCCCCAGCACAAGCGATGGGATTAAACCGCTCATGGGAATGGGGTCGAAACTTAACAGAAACAAAAAGAGATTCCCACATGGCCATGGGCTTCCAGTCTCAGAACCAGTAGGATGTATCACTGGTTATAAAGCATCACTGACACTCGGGGAGTTCCTGCCCCAAGCGTGGAGCTGAAAAGAAGATCAGGTGCCTTGAGCTTGGTGTATTGTCAGGCAATATTCCATCCTGCCTCCCCTGGAATAGGGCGGTCAAAGCCAATGGCAACTGCAAATTATAGCTAAACACCAAGTCTAGTCAAAACTTGTATATGCCTGGCCCCAGCATTGAAGTTTTGGTGAGATATATATACATATACTTTGAATTTGAATAAACCAAAGCCCTGTAACCAGTAAAGCAATATGAGCACCGCAACCCCAAAGTCGTCCACGACCTTTTATAACTACCTTCAAAGAATGTATGTGAACTAAAAGTATGGGGCGGCATGTGTGCCAGTTCTGCCCCCATGTCTGTCCCCTCCATCCCTAACCTTCCCGCACTTAGTATTAAGGTTGAGGGTGGAGTTGGCAGGGATGGCCACACTAGGGATGGGACTAGCATGCTAACTCCCGCTACATTTTACGCCCTCCCGTGTTCTCTGAATGCTTTAATAGGGTCTAATTAATCAGAAATGTGCTTATCAACAAACAATTCCATAAATGGTTGACAGTTCTAGCATCCAGGTACCACCAGCATGTGCTGAAAACTCAAAAATGTTATGCCTTCAGGAGAGTTTTCAGAGGCAAGAGTTTTGGTCTGTTCCTGCTACTACTCCACACCATTCCAAAATATTCCAATTTCTCTGAAAAGCTAGATATTAAGGAAATCAAGTCATGTATAGGTTAATGTTTTATACAACCCATTCCATAATGTATCAAGTGGGGGCACTAAGCATCACTACCCTATTAAAAAAGTCAGCACACAATCAACTGAGACCATCTTGCTGACAGATATAAAGGTTTTTAAGTAAAGACCTACCTGTTTCAGCCCCTCTCGGGAATGATCAGCCGTTTTCATTACATCTTCAATAAGCCACCAGGAACTATGCAAATAAATTGCTAATACTAAAAAAGAATGAAATGAAGAGGTTTCATTGAAATGGTTGCCACCATGATAGCAGGAGCTCATACAGGGTTTCAGCTGTGCTGTCTTCCTCTTGCTGTTGTCAGTTATTTCTATTATCAACTATCCATCAAACCACCCTTTGTATTGTAGGATCCCAGGGCAGTATACAGATGAAAGAATTCAAATCAATATAAATAACAAAAGGAAATCACAGCAGCAACTATAGAACCAATTCAGCAGCAGACATAGAATTAACCATACCTAGGTTGGCATCCCTCCCCCCAAATGCCACTGGAAATAGATGTGTTCCTGTTGACAATGGAAAATAATCACCAAGGAAGGCAAAAGAACCTCCAAAAGTATTTATCACCACAGGGAAGACCCTATTTCAAGTCACTTTACAATGGGTCACACCAGTCATGCAGTATAGACATGAGCTTTTTTCTATTTATTTAAAACATTTTATAGCACTCTTCCATCAATAATCCAAGGGCAGCTCACAACAATAAAACACAATTTCAAGAAAATCAATGCATTGCAATACATCATAAGCCAATCAGCACGCAGACTAGGTATTTACAACCTACAATGCCAGGGACACCAGGCAGGCCTTTTGCAAGCACCAGGCAAATGTCAATATTCTGTGTTTTTCCAAATTTTGAGATGAAGTTCTCATCCCAAAGCACATACATTTTTTAAAAATCATATTTTAGGATAAAAGACACTTAGAAATGAGTAAAATAGATTACACATTTAAATACAATACATGTTTCAATGTAAAGTTTTGTTCAGATTTTTAAAAACACCCACCTTAACTCAGAAAGAGGCCAAATAAACTTATAGCTGAACACATGCAAAATTGTCATAGACCATCCATTGCTACTTAAAGGTCATCTCCAACACCTTGAAATGAGTACAGAAGACAATAGGGAAACAACGCAAGCAATTTTTTTTTTGTTCTTAACTGTCACTTCAATCAAAGAATACTTCCAGAAAGAAAAATACAGTTGTGTGCATCAATGGAAGATCTACATTACTGAGTAAGATAAAACACACCAGGGAACAGAAGCTATACAACATTTAATGGTGGAGGGCAGAATTTATGTACCAGTAAGTGAAATGGAAGAAGTGGTGCATTTCAAACCGCAAAAAGCTTTAACAGGAATGTCATCAATTGCCTATGTTAGCCCCGAGACTGTACAGATGTTCTAATGCACATATATAAGGCTGGTTTCTCTGCACTAGCTCCCAAGTGAGCTTGGAGGGTAAGTGCAATCAGTTAGTTAACCTATAATTTGAATAAATTATTAAAGCATGCACCAAAATGTGTTTACATGCAAGCTGTGAAAGAAAGGGAAAAGGGGAAGCTGCAGATACATAATTACAGCTAGGCCCATTTCATTACATATTTCACACTCCCTTGCAGAGGGTTTTCATGTGTTTTCTTTATGAAGCATGAGCAGCCCACAAAAGCTTGCATCCAATTGTAGCTCTACATAACTCGTTCTGATAGCGCAAGGATATAGGCTTGCTCAACAGAACTTTATCCTCTCCACTCCCCGTGCATTGCCTAAATCTGTTCGAGGTTCTCCTCCAAGCCTCTGGAGCAGATTCAGAGAGGGCATGGGGTTTGCACAGAGGATGGGCATGAAAATACCATTGCCCAAGCATTAATACTTGTACTAATAGAATGAGTGCACTGGGTACCGCTCCAGAACTCCATCTTCCCACACTAGCCAAGAAATAGGCAATTAGCAATGGTGAACAAGCACCAGACAAATGGGACAAAAGGAGTCCAATGTCAATGAGAGCTGTGTCGATTTAATAGCAAGCAGGGTTTGGCTCTGCCTAAAGAAACTCTATGCAAAATACATGGAACAACTTGACTTTTTATGGCACATTTCCTGTGCTATTCAATAATTTAAAGGAACAGAGGGAAAGTAGTCCAGTAAAGCTGACATAGCAACTGTCACATCATATTGCTTGGATTACTTTGCCTGTACAGATCTCTTTGCGGAAGGAGAGGGAAAGGCTTCTCCATATCCCATATGAAGGTATATTCGCCATTAATTTAAAGTGGTGGCTGGTACCCATTGGGACTGCTGTGGCAGAAGGCAAGAGGCCAATGACAGGCAGAGTCGACTAGGTCTGGCTTTGTCTCCACCCTCCTTCTCCTGCTGCCTGTTGAGGAGAAGGAAGAGGATAGCCAATGTCATCCACTGGACTGGCTGTAAGAAGGCAGGCAGGTGGGAGCTGACTAAGGACACAGTGTGGTTGGTGGGGCAGTGCCCCACTCGCCCTAATGGACGAGCCTCCACTATTAATATAGTATAATAATATAATAAACAGATTTTCCCTTAGTGCACTTATGTTCCCCTCTAGCCAACTTAAGTCCCTACTTAAGTCCCTTTAGCCCACTTAAGTCCCCACTTAGTCAACTTAAGTCCCCATTTAAGTCCCCTTAGCCCACTTCGGCCCCCTCAAGTTCCATTTAGCCCATTTTGAATGCAAATAGTCTTACAACACCTTTGTGACCCTCGTTATGGAGAAGGGCATATCAAAACCGACACAAAAAACACTGAGAAGAAAGAAGGAAGGGCCTCAAATGCTTTGGACCTGCTTGTGCATTGACAATAGGCAGGACTTTCACTCCATTGTTTTAGAAGACTGATGATAACTTTTTTTCATTTCAGCAAGCCTACCCAGACATATAATTTAGTTACTTATATTTGTTTTCAAAAAAATTATATGTGTTTTATATAATAATAATAATTTATTATTTATACCTCGCCCATCTGGCTGGGTTTCCCCAGCCACTCTGGGCGGCTTCCAACAAAACACAAAAATACAATAACCTATTAAACATTAAAAGCTTCCTTCAGATGTCTTCTAAAAGTTTGGTAGCTATTTTTCTCTTTGACATCTGGTGGGAGGGCATTCCACAGGGTGGGTGCCACTACCGAGAAGGCCCTCTGCCTGGTTCCCTGTAACTTGGCTTCTTGCAGCGAGGGAACCGCCAGAAGGCCCTCGGCGCTGGACCTCAGTGTCTGGGCAGAACGATGGAGGTGGAGATGGAGGTGGTATACTGGACCTTGATAATTATTTTATGCCTATTTGTTTTTTAATAGGTTTGTTTTTTTTACCCAGGGCTTTTTTCCAGCTGGAACTCACAGGAACTCTGTTCTGGCACCTTTGCCATTACAAGAGAGGCATTCATGATGAGTTCCAGCACTTCTTTTTTGAGAAAAATAGCACTGATCTTAGCTGCCATTTTATTATGTACACTGCTTAGTGAGCTTTGGGGTTAAATGGTTTATAAATCTTTCTAAAGAAAGAAATAATAAAATTAATAAATGCACATTCAGAATCTTAGAAAGGTCCAAAGTTGGGTATGTTGTGGCAAGATGTGGTGGGATGGTCTGATTTAGGGCAGGGGGAGCAGTTGTAAAGGACATGCATGACACATAGGTCATAAGACATCTAAGGGTCTAGAACACAGCTCAGGACATGGTTGACATGTCCTAGTCTAGTCACCACCCATGTCCAACAGGTGGAGCATGGGGAGAAGACAGCATAGTGGGAGGCTCCCCAACAGGGCTTTAGTTTTTCACAGACCCTAGGAGAGGCAGGAGGCATTAGTTTCCACTGGTGGAAGTCTTCCTAGCCTTTATTTTCCTGTTGCAAACTTAACTGCAGTGCCTTCAAAAACTGAAGTGGAAAAGATAAACTTCTTACCTATTGCATGGACTGCAAACTTTTACACCTAGTTTTGTAATTCAGTGTGAAGGTATTATGGCACACAGTGTACCACAGAAGTACAAGGAGAACATTTTGAGTCCAAAACTCATTTATAAGTTTACTCTTCTCCATTACTATAGACTGATGTCAGGAAACAGTTTGTTCTTTTGTTCCCATTTATACCTTATCACAAACCATTACCATCCTGCAATCCTATTAAAGCAGGCTTAAGGGAGATCTCAATCACAAGGTGTCTAGAAACAGTGATAATAAAATATTTGGCGGAAGGCTGTAACTTTGGTTCTCAATGTGGCTCAGTTAGCAAATCTCAAATAATGGCAAATCAGTAGACAACTGAGAGAAACTGTGGAAGAGTTTGGTAATGAAGTAAGACCATATTTTTAAATTGGGTCGTGGATTTAAATTCAAATATAGGCATAAAATAGGAAGATAAAACAGAGAGGGAAATGTTCTCCTGTGTTGGTTTGTGTGTGTTTTTGCAGAACACAAATATTTGCAGACAAAAAGTTCTTCAGAGCATTTGTAGTGGGAGGGAAGTTAAAAATGGTATACTGGTAATATTTAAGTAAGAATTCGTACAGCAATTCCACAAAGCTCATGAATATTAATGAGAGTGCATACGTTACAGACCCACTGCCAACACCCAAGTTTCAGTTTAAATAGGAAACACATTGGTAAAATGTATTTGCCACGTTTCAATATCTGAAAAATATTGAGAGATATTTGTTTCAGTGTTCATTTAAACAGTAGCATAAAGTAATGCTGCTTACCTGCCCACTGACATTGGACACTACTAACTTTTCTCCCAATTTCTCCATACTTTTGCATGAAGGTTCCAAATTCCTGGCAGCTCCAGGTAGGGCTGAGAGAGACTCCTGCCTGAAACCACGGACAACCACTGCCCGTCATTGTAGACAATACTGACCTAGATGGTTCAATGGCCTGATTTCAGGATAAGGCATAAGAATTAACTGTGTATTTTATTGTTGAAACCTGCCCAAGGACATTATGATAAAGGTTAAGTAAGAAATCAAATAAATGAATAAGGTTTTTCATCTACTTCTGCAATAGTAGTAGTTACATTTCTATTCCACTCTTCGTCCAAGAAGGTCAGAGCAGTTTACATACAACTTACCCATGGCCTCCCATCCAGACCCTTTTCATGACTAGACTGCCTTAGCTTCAGCAGCTGAATCATATCATATGCCTTCAGGTCATTCTGTGAGCCATGCTGCAAACTGAAAGAATAGGGTAAGCCACCCACCTGTGTTCTTATCTTGTGGATCAATTAAAACCAGAAGCTTATGCTTGCTGTCTTCTTTATACAGAGGAAGGAAGTGCATCAATGGAGCCTCAAGTTTAACCTGTAATCAAAGCAGTTATTTGCATTCATAATCTGCAACAAAAAGTAAGACTGCAGTTGCTGTTTTTAATTAATAGCAAAAGTCCAACTGTATAAACTTGGGATCTATCTATGGGAAATGGCATTGAGGTTCCAAAACTACACAAGCACATAATTGTTATAACAAACCAGGATCAATCCAGTTTCAAATTTTGGTTTGTTAACTGTGGTTTAGACATACCAGTTTCCTGTATTTTTACATAAAAGAGCCTGCAGTTTTCTTTCAAACCACAAACAGAAGCTTTAAACTTCCTTCCCTCGTTCTGGAAAGATGGAGAAGCACATGAACACAAGTGTTGTCAAAGTAAATAACTGCTGGCCAGAAAACATTTGTTATTGGTAAACAAATATAGAAAGGTAAATAAATACTGTAGTAAAATAAACAAATAGAAAACAATGGTTTCCTGTCAGTTCTGAATCAAGCCTAAGTGTCTTATCGGCTTAGAACACCTTAGAACACTATAAAATTATTACCACTGCATAATAATAGTATCTATAAATGGATCATAGCATTTAAAAAGTAATCAGTAAGATTAGGCTGCCCCACTCTGTAACACTCTGTGTCACTTTTTGTGGGGCAGGGAGTGGGGGAGGTAGAAATTCCTAATCATGTATGAAAGAAGTATCCTGTGATTTTAAGGTGGCTGACCAACCAAATGCAAGTTGGCATTCTGGGTGTTGGAACTGACCCCCCCCCAAAAAAAAAACACAACCCACACCACACACGCCTCAAGTAATTATATGATCAATTCAGTTCCACTCTCTGAATAATCCAGAATAGACGTACCTACTCTCCTTTAGATAAAAGCCATTACCAATTTGTTTATTTCACTTTTTTTTTTCCAAAGAATGTATGAAAGTTTAAAACTGGCTTAAGCAAAGGTACTTGAGTTTAATTAAAACCGAACAACACACAAATTCAAAACAGTGAGGGCAATACCCAGGCCCAAACTGGTGGGGTGGTAGAAATGAAGGGAAAGTGGATGTTTAATTACAAGCATCTCGTCTCATGCTTGAGGTGAACATCATCTCAGTGTAATCCTCTTCCACCATAACATTAAGCCAAATACCCAGTTTTCTTTGCCACTGAAATTGGGAACGTTTTGATTTTTCATCACAGAACTTGATTAGCAAACTGCCAAATCCAAGTGTTTGTTATAACTGGGATGGGGGACAGGGCTGAAAGAAACAAGGGGAAGATGTTCCTGAGAGGTCTGTTTTCACTCCACCCCCCAAATGCAGCAGAAAATTAAAATAACATTTAGGTTCTGATTATAAACCACAGAAACCAGCATACTTATAAATCACAGCCAAGACTGCATCCTTAGCTCACCCTATTGTGTCTCGCTTTTGTAAGGATGCAGCATCACTTAGCGTGCTAAGCTCCTCAGTCCCCCTTCCCCCTCTCCCCAACTGAGCACCAGATGGGATGCTAACTCTGCATCCAGGCACGACAGGTTGAGCTAAGGACAGAACAACAGCCTGAACCCTTTTGTGTGTATCTCGCTCTCCCTCCCTCCCACCCCGCCTTGTGTTTTATTTAGCTTTGGAAGCAGTTCCGTTCTTGAGACGCCAGAGGGCATTGAAAGAATGTTTTATTATGCCAGGCATCCTTTCCTCTCAGGCTACATAAAAACTCACCTTAGGTACACAGGTTTCTCCACTCACCCATGGAAATGACTACAAACCATGTTCCAAAACTGTGTGAAGCCATGGTTTCAGTTGGCTTTTTTAGCTGCTCCAGCTCAATAAACTAATGCCTTTATGGAAGCCTCCCCCACCCACTTGTCTTGCACTGTGAAGCAGTGACACGGTGAAAGGATGCCAAAAGGATTGAGGGATGGGAGAAAGACTTAAACATCCCATTTCCTTCCAGCTGCGAACAGCCTGCATTGCAGACTTAATCTCTAAGCATTTTATCTTGTCTGCATCAACCCTTTTTGTTCAAACTTTCCATGACAACCCAATGCACATTAGAAAACGCAATTGTTAGAATAAAAACACCCTCTGGCACTGAAAGCAAATCAACTGTATCCAAGCAGTTGCAGATCATGCAATAACAACTTTCAATCTACAGTGTTAATGTCCTCCCAGATCAGGATTATGGGGAAATAAAATCTGCAGCCAGAATCCAATGAGGTACTTCAGTCACACACCCAAGCGTTTCTTTGCACGCAGTGGGATTGTTGACATTTTTAATTGAACAGTAGATACATTCATCCCCATGTCATAACAAATACTGGAAAGCCCCCTCAGTTTCATAAGAGGCTTCCTATACGGCATGGACAGGTCCTGCCTGAGTAGCAGAAATCAAAAGTACCCTGGGACACACCAATCAAGTCAGATGTAGCCGGATGAAACAGAAACCCTGAGCAATGCTGGCTCCAGGATTGAAAGGCCTACTCTTTGCAAAGTCCCTAAAAGTGGCCATTTCAATTTACCACAATTCCACAAACTGATGGTCTGTCAGGGGCATTTTGGGGAACTGAAATTGTTGTTGTTGTTATTGACCCGTTATTGTAACCCACCCTAAGGTCCCAGGGTGGGTTACAATATTAAAACACAATACTGAAAACAGTTTAAAACAACTGACAATCACAAAAATAAGCTGGGCCCTAAAAATATACACTACAGACATCAAACGCTGGCATAAAGAGGTGTGTTTTCAGCATTCTCTGGAAGCTGTATAATGAAGGTGCCGGACGCACCTATGTGGGGATGGAGTTCCACAGCTAAGGGGTCACCACAGAGAAGGCCCTCTCCTGGGCGACCACCATGCCAGCCTCTGAGGGTGGAGGAACTACCAAGGGGGCTCCTGCTTCCTTCTGCCAACCTCAGAACCTGAGGTGGTGAGTAGGGAAGAAGACAGCCTTTGAGGGATTTGGGTCCTGAGTTGTTCAAGGCTTAAAACACTAATGTGAGCACCTTGCATTGGGCCTGGAAAAGAACAGGCAAGCAGTGCAACTGCAGGTAGGTCACTGGAATACCAAGGTGATATACGTGCTCCACAGCGATGGTGAGGGGACTCAGGAGTGAATGTGTCACCAGCTCGATCTCACCATTCCACAGTGAGAAAAGAGCATCAACAGGAGCACCAGCCATGTCTAGTGGAAAGATTCCATCATTCTCCGAGAGAGGAATGACCCAATGGATCCACCACCCATGCAGAAATGGGTAACGACATTCAGCCCAAAGCTCACCAGGGAATTGTCCATGCTGTTGTTGTTCCCTGCTGCTGCCGCTTTGCAAAACCACAGCTGAGGCAGGGCAGCAGGGCAGGCTTTAGCTTGAATGAGCCATAGTAACATAAGAAGAGCCTTACAGGATCTGGTCAAAGGCTGATCTACTCCAGCATCCTGCTTTCACCAAATAGATCTTTAAAGGAGGCTCTTAAGCAGGACATCAATGCAACAGCACTGTCCCCAAATGCAATTCTCAGCAACTGGTCTCCAGAGGCCTACTGCCTCCCATGCATAGGCAGAGGATAGTCATTGTAGCTAGTAGCCTCTGTGGAAGGTGAATTGTGTGAGAAAAGTTAGTCAAGCATGAGAAAAAGGAATTGTTGCCAAGTCAGAATGCAACCTTGTAAGAAGCCGTGTGCCAAGAAGCTTATATTGCCCGCTCCTTCTTGCCAAATGTATCCTGGGACCTGTTTCAGCAGAAATTGCTTATTCAGCTGTACTGAATACTGTAAAAATACTCTTGATTTTAGTAATGGCAGCAACTATGGGCTTGTCCACACTTGTCCCATGCCTAGAAAGCACAGGTCTGAGCAGTTTTTCATTCACCCTGCTGCTTTCCCACTGAAAACCCGCTCCTTACCACTGAATCAGAGCAAACGTCAAGCTGCAGAAAACCCAACAGATGTTTGCTTCATTTCAGCAGTAAAAAGCAATATTTCCCTGGAGGAAAGGAGTGGGGAAAGCAGAAATGTGGACAAGCCCTATGTTTCAGCATTTCTCTCCAGCCAGCTGCTGTACTCTGAAGAAATCAACTGACTCCTGTTCGGTGTAGTCTATTCCCACTACACCATTGATAAGCTTTATCCTCCATGAATACTCTTTCAAAGCCATCCAAGTTGGTGGCCGTTACTACAATTTGTGGGATAAGACTTGACAGGGTGCTGAAGCCCAAGCAACTGCTCCAGGAAACCAGTTGCTGAGGTGGGATTAAGTCAAGTAAGCTATTGTAGGCAAACCAATGGGCTCATGTTTCAAAGCCCTCTTTAAAAGGCAAGGAAAACAGGCATGGACAACACTAACACCTACAACTGGCAGGCAATTACACAACTCTGGATTGATCTAAACTGATTTATATATTGGAAAACTGGGCTTTTGTCCCTTCCTGATCAACAGGGTAAATAAATTCTATCCGCTTCATTTCAAGCTCAAGATTCTGCACTGAAGAAATACTTTACCATAACTCTAAATGGATATGGCCAATAATGGCCTTTGCCTGGCCTAGCAAGTAGTTTTTGCTTGTTTTTAATTTCAGCCCGTATGAATTTAAGTTATTAAGTTGCATTTTGCCCACTTCTGCTTTAGAGACTCTTTCACTCTCATCAAGAAACTAAAAAGTCATAGTTTGGCTTGAAACATGTAGTGATTTTTAACTCCATGGGACTAGCCAAGTCATCATTACAAAGAATTCTGGGCAAGGGTGATTTCATTTTGCTACTATCTAGAAAGAAGAAATAAACTACACTTACTTTCCCTCTTCCTGGAATAGATAAAAACTCAACAGCAGATGATGGCTCCTCTAAAATCTTTGTATAATATGAATGAGCTTCTTCTTCCAGAGCCTCGGGTTTTCCACCTTTAATATCCACTGGATAAAGATGATCTAGGTGAAAGGAGAATGTTAAATATTGGACTGTTTATGTGTACTGGTCAAATACAACACGAGTGTCAAACTGTGCTGTCAGGTATCATCATTGCCTTGTGAAGAAAATACAATGAAGTTCTTCACACTCTCCTTTATGTAATAATATGAATATTTTTAAGCAGTGCTGTGGTGGTGATTTACTATTAAATATGCTACTTCTCACTAGGATTGCAACACTTAATAAATTAAGAGGTTCGATTAATAGATTAAAAACTAAAATGAACTTTAACACAAGTACCGGTAGTTATAAAAATTTCAGATGCCATGTGCTATCCTAAAATATATTATTTCATTTTCTTACTCATGGATGGGGAACTGTGGCCACTGATAGACTCCATCTCCCATCATCCCTGACCATTCGCTATGCATGCTTGGCCTGATGGGAGCTGGAGTCCAACAAAACCTGGAGCAGGTGTGGGGAATGTCTGGTTCTCCAATTGTTGCTGAGCTACAACTCCAATCATCCCAGGGCAATGGCCACATTTGCTAAGGCCAACAGGAGCTGCAATTCAGCAACATCTGGAGGGCCACAGACTGACCACCCTTGTTCTAAGAGAATGTCTGCTATATACACACACATGCTTCATAAAATACGCATTTCACTCAGAGAGCTAAATAGGATGATTAATAATTATATTTAAAATAACAAAAGAAAGTATATTTTGCTACAGAATGGTTGTTTTTTTAAAAAAATACTGAATATTTTTGTTTAATTGAGTGACAGCCCTACTTCTCTCCAAACTCAAACTTTGACCACAATGGTGTACAACATTTTGTAGGATCAATCATTCTGTCTCACATAGGAGGGCCTAAAATGAGAATATATACAAGAGTATATATAATGAGAGTATATAAAGCGGCAGCAAAACTACAGGAACAATTTTGCTCCTCCACAGTAGCCAGAACCACAAAGTAACTATAACATTTTCAAGGAAAGGTAGAAAAATGTATCTACCTAATTTCTTATGTTATAATAAAACCACAGCAATAACAACTAGCTCAAAATGGTCTCTTCTTAGATTTCTGCATAAGCAAAGAATTGAGAATTTCCAAATTGGCAAAACAAACCTGAGAGCTATTTCCTTCAAACGTGCTCCACTGACTAAAATCCCTTTGGTTTTCAAAGTTTTCAACCTTGCAACTGAGATACACTGCACATTAAATAATTTGTCCACTATTGTACATTCAAAGTCTTTGATTATGGACATTTTCTAAACAAAGTAAATGTTTTTGCAATAAATGGAATATATATTTTATATCTATTTAACTAATTTAACAGATCTGTTAAAGATTAGTGGGGAAGTCGAGTGGAGTGGAGATTTAGGCAGTGAGAGCACAGGCAAGTGTTAAAGCCTCCCCCCACCCACTGCCCCGAAACTGCTCTATTCCCAACTGTTCTGAGTGAAAACTTTATCTAAGAGGGTTATTGGGTCACCTTTACACCCATTTTCCTGCCACTACAAAATGCCATTCAGCAGGATAGGCTTCAAAATTACTTCCTGGCCTTCTCAAGCTACCTTCTTAAGGCCTAATATTTCCTAGGAATATTAGCCAGAATGGTGGGTAAAAGGTAAAGGACCCCTGTATAGTTAAAGCTATGGTTTTTCCATAGTGATGTATGGAAGTGAGAACTGGACCATAAAGAAGGCTGATCGCCGAAGAATTGATGCTTTTGAATTATGGTGCTGGAGGAGACTCTTGAGAGTCCCATGGACTGCAAGAAGATCAAACCTATCCATTCTGAAGGAAATCAGCCCTGAGTGCTCACTGGAAGGACAGATCCTGAAGCTGAGGCTCCAATACTTTGGCCACCTCATGAGAAGAGAAGACTCCCTGGAAGAGACCCTGATGTTGGGAAAGATTGAGGGCACAAGGAGAAGGGGACGGCAGAGGACAAGATGGTTGGACAGTGTTCTCGAAGCTACCAGCATGAGTTTGACCAAACTGCGGGAGGCAGTGGAAGACAGGAGTGCCTAGTGTGCTCTGGTCCATGGGGTCACGAAGAGTTGGACACGACTAAACGACTAAACAACAACAACAACAAAAGGACCCCTGACCGTTAAGTCCTGTCGTGAACGACTCTGGGGTTGCGGCGCTCATCTCACTTTACTGGCCTAGGGAGCTGATGTTTGTGTGCAGACAGTTTTTCCGGGTCATGTGGCCAGCATGACTAAGCTGCTTCTGGCGAAACCAGAAGCGCACCGAAACGCCGTTTACCTTCCCACCAGAGCGGTACCTATTTATCTACTTGCACTTTGACGTGCTTTTGAACTGCTAGGTTGGCAGGAGCTGGGACCGAACAACAGGAGCTCACCCCGTCGTGGGGATTCAAACCGCTGACCTTCTGATTGACAAGCCCTGGGCTCAGTGGTTTAGACCACAGCACCACCCACATCCCATAGAATGGTGGGTAGCGAACCTCAAAATAAGACAGGCCATATTAACAACGTCTGTGTTTGAGACTGTGAGCGCAAGCATACTGGAGTATAGCATACTAGACTAATCACAAACTGAGCAATACAACACCGGTTAATTTCCACTGCAAAGCGTAAGTCAGCACTTTGTACTAAAGAAACCGTGGGGTGGGTGCGGGGATATAAGAGAGGTACACAGCCCCTCCTAGAAGTATGTCAAACAACCATATTAGGCAAAGGGGATCCACTCCACATTAGGAACAAAATGAGACATCATTATTATTTAATGCGCTAATAAGATATTTTTAAATAGAGGAATGCTTTGCAGGATTAATACCAATCTTATTTTTAAAGTCTTTATGCACAGATTTAAGTTCTGGGTATGTGTTCCATAAACAGCAAAATGTGTGGCATTCCATCTATGAAGCTGAAAAGCACCCTGTATTCTATCCCAGTAATGCCTGAATTATGGATACAGCATTTTGTTTGTCCCTCCTGTAAACATGCTGGCAACATAAATCTCTTAACCTTTCAAAATCTCTTAGCAAGTACAGTGGTGCCCCGCAAGACGAATGCCTCGCAAGACGAAAAGCCCGCAAGACGAAAGGGTTTTCCGTTGCGGAGGCGCTTTGCAAGACGAATTTCCCTATGGGCTTGCTTCGCAAGACGAAAACGTCTTGCGAGTCTCGCCATTTCCCCCCCGCTTCCCCCCCCTTTTTCAAAGCCGCTAAGCCGTTAATAGCCTTTTAACAGCTTAGCCGCTAAGCCCGCTAATAGCGCTAAATCGCTAATAGCGCTAATCTGCTTAGCCGCTAATGGGGTTGCTTCGCAAGACGAAAAAACCACTAGACGAAGAGAATCGCGGAACGGATTCTTTTCATCTTGCGAGGCACCACTGTACAGTATTCTTCATAGTGGTTCGTTTGAACTTGTGTGATGATGATCAATATATAGAAATACAAAAAGCACAGAAAATATCACAGGGCAAAATCTTCAGCTAAATATTCTTGCACCCAACATACAAGGCAGTATAGAATCATAGTATAGAATCACAGAATGGTAGAGTTGGTAGCGACCCTGAGGATCATCTAGTTCAACTCCCTGAAATGAAGGAATAGGCAGCTGTCCCATACAGGAATCGAGCCTGCAACCTTGGCATTATCAGCAAGAATGTTATTCATGTTCTGTTTAACCCAGCAGAAAATATAGTGTCATAAGTTTAATTTACTTTCAAATCTGGGTATTTAACTTTTCAGCAGGCGAGATAGCGCTGCATTTGCAGTTCAACTTCTTCAGCATGTCTGTTTCTCAAAATGTAAGATGAGATACAGACACGTGCCACTCTTCCTTCTAAAATATTTTGAACTGCAAAAGCAGATCTCATAGATATTCTGTTTCCATAAGCTCAAAGTGTTTTTATACATGACAAAACAACTCTTGCTGTTGTCTCACAGAGTGATGAGAGAGAAGTAAAAAAAAAAAAAATCCAAAAGTTGGGGGTGGGATAAAATTTGCCAATTTCCTTTTTCTACTTCTACTTTTCTGCAACTGCCTGGGTTATGGAGTGTCTCTTTCAACAGCTCTGTAACTAGAGATTCCAAAATTCCAAGGAGAACTTTGTAGCCAATTTAAATTGCTGGATTACATTTAAAACAGCTATTCATCCACAGCTACGTGTTAAGAGAATATTGAGCCAGAAAAGCTACAATAAACCCGTTTGAGTCTATTTAAAACAGAACAAACTTATACGACGGTCACCAACAAAGGGGGGAAATGAGAGTAATAAAATATGAGGGGTTCTCTGCAACCGCAGAAAAGATACGGTGCAACCATCCAGAGAGTATATTTAGAAGAAGAGGCCTCTTGCATTTGAGAGATTCCAGACATTCTAGCCGTTGCATTTCTGCAGAGCTGAGAGGGACTGCCATCTTAAATAACCCAAGCTGGTAAACAAGGTCATGACATCACATAGGCTGATTCTACAGCAACAATGTCAACAAAGGTCTCAAACCAGCAGGTTGCAGCCTCAGGTCTTTTATATGTGGTAATTAACTACATTCACACCAAAAGTAAAATATTTCTGTTGAATCTAAAGGAAATAACATACATAGTTTATGTCCCTGTCTAGGAGTCTTCTGTTAATCATGAAAAGACCAGTTTCAGAAAGGAAGAGAGAAAGTGCTCCATATCTAAGGCACCCAAAAATGTGTCCTTTCTTCAATTAAAATTAGCACAGAGATCTTAAAAGCAATTAACCAATTTCCTTTTTCAGATGACTTATTTCTGGACTTGTTTAACTGATTTTAACAACTGCAAACTTAGGCATAAATAATGCTTTAAGTACAGGAAATCACATCTTCATGACAGAGGTTGGAAGAAGAGTCATAAGTTTTTTTTAATATCCTTTATTCTACAATATTTTACAATACTTTCCACCTTCCAGTACAAAAGGCCATTTTGTACTTACTGTATCTATCTACCTGCTGAGCGTCCTAAGCATCTGCCACAGATCTGCCTAAATTTGGACAATAAAATTGGTTATCC